CCAACACATACTTCATCTATAGTATCAGCATGGCCCCACACTACCACCACACATACTTCATCTATAGTATCAGCATGGCCCCACACTACCACCACATACTATACCTAGAGTATCAGCATGGACCCCCACACCACCACCAACACATACTTCATCTATAGTATCAGCATGGCCCCACACTATCACCACATACTATACTTAGAGTATCAGCATGGACCCACACTACCACCAACACATACTATACCTAGAGTATCAGCATGGCCCCACACTACCACCAACACATACTTCATCTATAGTATTAGCATGGCCCCACACTACCTCCACATACTATACTTAGAGTATCAGCATGGCCCCACACTACCACCACCACATACTATACCTAGAGTATCAGCATAGCCCCACACTACCACCAACACATACTTCATCTATAGTATCAGCATGGCCCCACACTACCACCACATACTATACTTAGAGTATCAGCATGGACCCACACTACCACCAACACATACTATACCTAGAGTATCAGTATGGCCCCACACTAACACCACATACTATACTTAGAGTATCAGCATGGCCCCACACTACCACCACCACATACTATACCTAGATTATCAGCATGGCCCCACACTACCACCACACATACTTCATCTATAGTATCAGCATGGCCCCACACTACCACCACATACTATACTTAGAGTATCAGCATGGACCCACACTACCACCACATACTATACTTAGAGTATCAGCATGGCCCCACACTACCACCACCACATACTATACCTAGAGTATCAGCATGGCCCCACACTACCACCACACATACTTCATCTATAGTATCAGCATGGCCCCACACTACCACCACATACTATACTTAGAGTATCAGCATGGACCCACACTACCACCAACACATACTTCATCTATAGTATAAGCATGGCCCCACACTACCACCACATACTATACTTAGAGTATCAGCATGGCCCCACACTACCACCACATACTTCATCTATAGTATGAGCATAGCCCCACACACTGTCACCGCACACTTCATCTACAATTTTGCAATTCTGCTTTCCATATATTGCAGAGTTTCAAACCATTTTTCACATTTAGCACCGTTCATAATTACTTTAAATTACATTACATTATTTGGACTCAGCTCCATCTCTGTCTGAATAATGAATATATCTTGACATACAGGCAGGCAGCCAAGAGGGGGATGAGCTCTTCCTTAATCTGTATTTTGTGGCTGACTGCAAGTTCTCTGTATTATTATTATTTGTATAGAGCCAACATATTACACCGTGCTTTACAATTATAGAATGGGGATCTCTGACAAGTAATTTATATATGGAATATAACTGAGACAAGAGGTAAAGAAGGCCCTTCTCCAACAATCTAACAGTCTATGAGGAAGGGTAAAGACAGACAAGACAAATACCAGCATGTCAGAGGGATAGGGATTGATGGATTAGATCCTGTGCCAGTTAACCTGATGTGTAGAACAAGCGGCCAGTGGAGGGAGTAGGTTTTGGAGGCGAGGGATCTGATGAGGGCAGTGAATGAGAGAAACTTCACCCAGGGAGAAGGATTTCCTAAACAGCTGTGTTTTCAGTCACGTCTTAAAGGACTGGAGGCCTATATATTGCACGGGGTTAGCAAATTCCAAATGAATGGGGCAGCCCCGTAAAAAAATCCTGCAGATTAGAGTTGGCAATGCGGGAACCAGCAGATATCAGGAGAAGGTTGTTTACAGAGTGAAGGGAATGAAAAGGGGTGAATTTATTGAGTAAAGAGGAAACGAGCAGTGAGGAGTGGAGTTAGTGAGGAGCTTTATAGGTCAGTTAGCAGTTTGAATCGGATCCTGAAGGCTACAGGAATACAATCTAATGATTGGCAAAGGGGTGGGGTGTGGGTTGGAACTGGCTTGTGCTGAATTCCTTTAACCCCTTAAGGACACAACTTCTGGAATAAAAGGGAATCATGACGGAATATTTCTGTCATGTGTCCTTAAGGAGTTAAATATGTGCAGATGTGTGAGTGTATATATATAGACACTTTGGGAGTTCAAAGTGGATTTTATATTTCTAAGGCTAAATGGCCAAATTAAAACATAGCTTACTTTTTCTACTTAAATTCACACGTTAGTGAAATACCAAACGAGTGTTAATTGATAGCAGTGCATTCTCCTTAAAGAAGGAACCTTGAATGCCAATTTGGTAACGCGCCCATTCATGACGTATCATAGACAAGATTATTCATTAATCTGATATGACCTGTATACGTAATTTTGGAAAAAGTGCTATCTGGGTAATTTACCAACTCAGCTATTAAGGGATAAAACGTGCACATCTCAATTATCAAAAGTGTACAAATTGTATATGGTCATTAAAATAGTCCTATTTTTGTAGCCATTGCTTCCATCCATGGACAAATTAAAGTTTCAGAAAAGGCGTGTCTGACTGGCCAATCACACCGGATGAAAGTTTAATTTATAAATCCACTACCCCATCTGTAAAAGCAGATATATTCGCATTACTATTTATACGTTCTCCCTTTCCTCTAATTTGTTCCCCTGTCCATGACTCCATCCTGTGTATCATTCTTGGATTTGTTTTACTTACAGTCTGGTTATTGATCACTTTCTGTCTCTTTATCTTCCAGTTGGATGTCTGGTGCTTTCGCCCCTCATTCAGTTTGTCATCTCCGTCCTTGATAGGAGTGGTTGGTAGATACTCAATGTTGGGCCATCCCTGAAGTTCTTCTCCATCAGTCCATCTACATTCCATGTTGCTTCTCAGCAGTCGATCGGTTACGAGTGAAGATTCTTCTTTCTCTCATTGCGTTTATTTTAAACCATGACTTAGAGTATTAAAAAAAAAAAATAACAACAAATATTTCTTGTGTCTCATTAAAATAAAGTTTGTTGGAAGGAACTGGTGATTCCTCAGGAATAATTTATGGTCTTTCTCTGAAGAGTTACATCCCCCAAACTGTGTGGATAATGAGAAGGCCCAGCATGAAATAACTCCTTATCTGCTTCAGACGTGTAATGAGGGAATATTTAGACTTGCGGTTTTATCTCGGTAACCATCCTACTTTGGCTTCTTGCTAAAAACTTTCCAAAAAGTGCAAGATGTCCATTTCTGCTATGCAAAAATATACACAATAATCTACAAGGATGCAGTATCAGTGCCCATTTAATATATTTAAGATCTTCTGTGCTTGTTCTATAGTTAAAGGAACAGTAAAGTAACAATATAAACTGTTTTTAATGGTTATAGCAACATTTCTGAGTTGGTAATATGCGAAAAACTTTATGTTTTATATAGAATACAGATAGTGCCTCAAACAATTTACAAAATTAAAAGAAAATGCTTAATGTAGTTAATTAAAAGCTTAATGTAGTTGTTATGGTAAGTATAATCATTCCCAGCATGATTTTTCAGAGTAAAGGCAGTTTTTACATTACAGTCTAGGAACACCTTTCGTGTCCACTCCTCAGACAGCCACGTGAGGTGCTTCCTGGGCCAATGCACAGCGTCTCCAAGCTTTGCACAGAAACGCTGAACTTGACATGCGCATCGTAGTCATTACAGCATATTCCTATACTACCCCATAACCCCATAAAAACAAAGATACAGAAACATTTTTGCTTTAAAACTATCACAGATTTATTACTTTTTTTAAAAAATATTACAAACCAGAAATTAAAAAAGGTAATTGTCAAACACTTAACATCTTATTAAACCCATTAATCTATTTTATACAATATTATGTTCTACAACAGACGGAGAAGCTCCAGAGGCAAACAACTGACAAAGGAACCATAACAAAGCATCCAAATGTACTTTCCCCAGAGCAGACCATTATCCCAAACTTTACTATAAGCTGCCCAAGTGCCAAGGGCCATGAACTCTAGATCAGTCCTCCAAGCATAATGTCCCAAGCCTCCACATTTTGTCCAGACAGGAAAGACCCTCCTCTTGGGCGTCTGGAGCTGCTTTATAAAAAAATCTTGCCCACTGGAAATGAGAGAGTGAATTACCAGTTATGTTAAAAAAAAAGGAACATGATGCTCCTGAAAAACAATATTAAATGACATACAACACAATACAAAATAACAAAGAAGCTGAACTACAGGAACAGAAGAAACGGACAAATAGCAGCATCCACTACTGACTTGTAGTCCGTAAAGAATGCCACCTTCTTGTCTAGAAATTATTAACTCCCCCACAATGACAATCCTACAACTAGCGGAAACAAATCCAAAAATCTTATCTTAGATAAGCAAGCTCGATGTACATGTTTCAGGCCACTGTTCCGTGCACTACTGACCTTCAAAATATGCCCCAAAACCAGCACTCCATGACGCGTCCGTTAACAGTTCCAACTCAGGTGAGGAGACAGCCATTTCCCAAAAGAAAACCCGCCCAATATAATCCCAAAGGAAAACCTTCCACATGCCCAAGTCTTTCATGGGAGCCGTAATCCTAATAAAGTCCTGAGGAGAATTTACCCCACAGGTAGCTTTGGCTAGAAAGCTGCTAAATATACCCCCAACCAGATTCAGCTGACACGCAAAATTCAAACAACCGATTAAGGACTGCAAAGACACATAGTTCCATAGTTTTTTGTTTTTTTTAAAATTACTTTTTATTAAGAAATGTTGTTTTGGAAGTACAGAACAGTTCAAAAAATACATACATACATTCATACAAAATACATCCGATTGATATAAATAGTTCCATAGTTATATAGCTGAAAAGAGACTTGCGTCCATCAAGTTCAGCCTTCCTCACATATGTTTTTGCTGTTGATCTAAAAGAAGGCAAAAAAATACCTATTTTGAAGCGCTTCCAATTATGCAACAAACAAGGAAAGAATTCCTTCTTGACCCCAAAATAGCAGTCAGATGTCTCCTTGGATCAAGCAGCTATTACCCCACTAATTAGAAATTATATCCCTGTATGTTATGTTTTGCAAGTATTTATCCAATTGCAGTTTAAACATCTGTATAGACTGACAAAACCACCTCTTCAAGCAGAGAATTCTGTATCCTTATTGCTCTTAATGTAAAAAAAACCCTTTTCTTTGCCTTAGATGAAATCTCCTTCCGTTCCAGCCTAAATGTATGACCTCGTGTCCTATGTATAGCCCTGTTTATGAATAGATTTCCAGATAATGGTTTGATAATGATAATGGCCCCAAATATATTTGTATAATGTTATCATATTCGTTCTTTGACGCCATTCTTCCAAACTAAAGAGATTTAAATTTTTTAACCTTTCTTCGTAATTAAAATGTGCCATTCCTTTTATCAATTTTGTAGCTCGTCTCTGCACTTTTTCTAGTGCTATGATATCCTTCTTTAGAACAGGTGCCCAAAATTGCACTGCATATTCAAGGTGTGGTCTTACCAGCGATTTATTAAGAGGCAAAATTATATTTGAATCCCGAGAATTTATTTACTTTACAAAGTTTTGTGTCATCTGCAAACACTGAAACATGGCTTTCAATGCCTATTTCAAGATCATTTATAAATATGTTAAATAGAAGTGGTCCAAAAACAGAACCCTGAGTGACACCACTTACCACTTTTGTCCAGCCTGAAAATGTACCATTAATGACAACTCGTTGTACTATATGCTTAAGCCAATGTTCTACCCAAGAACAAGAATAATCATCTAGACCAATTTCTTTTAGTTTGAAGACTAACCTATTGTGAGGAACAGTTTCAAATGCCTTGGCAAAATCCAAGTAGATCACATCCACTGCAACACCCTGATCTATACTTCTTCGTAGAATGCAATTAGGTTAATTTGACATGATCTATGTTTCATAAAACCATGCTAATTATTGCTAATAACAAAGTTCTTCCCAATGAATTTGTGAATATTATCCGTTAATAGCCCTTCAAATATTTTCCCAGTCACGGAAGTTAAGCTCACAGGTCTATAATTTCTATAATTAAATACAGAGGTTCACTTATTTCCCCACTAAGCTCCTTAAGTATCCGTGGGTGTATACCGTCAGGCCCCGGAGCTTTATTTACATAAATTTTCTTTAACAGCTGTAGCACCTTGTCTCGAGTTATCCAATCACATGTTATCTGCAAGTTTTTTGCAGCAATCATTTGCAAATCTCTTGCCATAGGATCCTCACTAAATATACTGAAGAAAAATAGTTATTTAAAATTTATTTTACTGGTCTTTATTAACTAACAGACCCATCTCTGTTTCCAGCATACCTACACTTTCATTTTTTGTTTTTTTAGAATTGATGTACTTGAAAAAAAATTTGGGGTTGGTTTTGCATTCTTTGGCTATCAATTTCTCATTTTCTAGTTTAGTCACTTTAATTGCCTTTTTTGCAAGCATTATTGGCTTCCTTATATCTTATA